TCATTCTAGAATGAGAGTGGCATAACTTATATTTATTTCCTAATTTTTTATGGTGGTTGCAAGATCGGACAAATCTACTGAATTTAACTACTGATAATAAAAGATAAAATATGAAGTTTTTTCTTAAGAAACATTTGATAACTATCTGGACATTATAAAGATCTTGCATTTGAAATTTCAAAAGTTTCTGATGCATAAAAGTATTTTTAATCTTAAAATGAAAATTACTTTGCATGATAGATAGGCAACATGCAAAAAAAAAAAAGACATGAGAAAAACATTTCTTAAGCCTTAATACTTAGTAAAAAAAAAATTATATTTTGCATATGAAAGCCTTGTAATGTGTACTAAAAATCTGCCAAATTCTGTGAACATATGCTTACTAATTTAAACGTTATACCATGAAAACTATAACAAGCACAAAATGGTTATGAGGTCAGTCCGAGGACTTATCTACCATATTATTAGACATAGATTTTAATTACACAATTGCCAACAGCTAAGCTATAGGTATAAGTACAAATATGCCTTGTGTTTAGTTTAAATACACTGTAGAGTTACCAACTACAAAGATTTAGTACAAGTTACCAGGTCTTAGTTTCATTTCTGTTAAAAAAAAAGATGGCTTCCAGTGTTTTAACTGTGGCAAAGCTGGTCACATAGCAAAGAACTGTTTTCAGAAACAGAAAAAAATTAACAGGTAACATGTTTTAATTGTGTTATCAGGGGCCACATAGCGTGTGATTACCGACATCAACAGAAGGCAGAAAACAGAAAAGCCCCGAAGGCTGGGAACTTTCCTCTGTAAAAAATAATGGTAGCCCTACATTCGCTGTGTAGTTCTGGCAGTTTGGGATAAAAGATTGAGTGTCCACTGTGTTAATGAATTGTCGCAAGTAATTGCAGTAGAAATAGAAGGTATAATATGTTGGTTATTGGTTGACACAGGCACTTGATCTTCACTACTAAGTGCAGAACTAGTAGATAAAAATCCTACATTGTTAAATAATGCCTCGAAAAAAGTTTCCAGAAGTATTTTAACTTGTATAACTGGACATCCTGTTAAAACACTAGGTAAATATAGTGTACACATGAAAGTAGGCAGGTCAGAGTTAGAACTTATTTTACATGTGCAAACAGATGGTATCATAGGGCAAGACTTCTTAAGGGTTGATGACACTGAAATATCTCTTACTTTGGGTAAGCTCGCATAGAAACAGAGATCTTAAGTTTTGAAGGATTTGAATCCTCAGACTTATGTGCAACAGTTGAGACACATGATACCTTCCTGCTGGCTAAAGTCAATAGTCAAACACCTAATGCTAGCATTAGCAAGACTAAAGATCAACAGTCAAAAGAAGAAAGCACTGTTAATCCTTAGCCTCCTAGTGTAGCGATACATGAAAAAGTTTTAGAAGTAAGAATAAAAAGTGTTTTAAAAGAAAGCCCCAGAATAAGAGTACACAGGAACACAGGAACCCAGCAGAAGTGATAACGGTAATCATAAGAACAAGGTGAATGATAGTAAGATAAGGCAGAATAAATTAGTACCTGTAAGATTAGTTAAAGTTACTGAAGTACCTTCAAGAAGTCAATTTTTGTTGAAGCTAAAGTAAATGACTAAGTATAATGAAGAAGTATTAACCCGATATTTGCCGGGGCCATTTTGTCTTATTGTGAGGGCAAAATCATTTGTGAACTGAAAAAATGATAGAAAACTTATCTTTTAATGGATTTCTGATTTTATTTTTATAAATAGTAGCATAACATTCAGTTATTTGTACAAAATTGTATTATTTAATGAAGTTTAAAGAGGAATTTAATGAAAAAATTCTGAAAATACATTTTAGACTGTAAATAAGCACCCTCTGAGAAGAAAATTTTTTTTCAAAATTGTTTTTTAATTTTTCCTTCGACTTCAGCACTGATCCTGCCATCTATGATTGGTATCTAAACCTTTTTCTAGTCTGTTTTCTTTATAAAACTGCATCTGGGTGTGTTAAACCTCAGTTGTAAAACTTTTAGCCAATCCTAGTCGAAAGTGTCAATTTCAGTACCAATTATTCCAATTGCTATATCTCCCATTTGACAAATCATAGGATGATAAGGAAAGCAAGTGATGAAAACGTTGTTCTCTGGATTTTACAATATGAATGTGGGTGGTACTTATTATAGTAACTGCCATTTTATGTAGAGGTTGTATTTAGTACTGGCCTATAGGGCTTTTCTATAAGCACTAGAAAAGTTGCTTCTGGAAAAAACTGCATGGGATATAAGTGACTTTTATTTTTTTTTATATAGTAGCTTAAGTCATGCTGCATGGTATATCTGTTTATATTAATCATCATATTGAAAAATTAACTCAAAATAGATATATTTTTTTAGGAAAGAAGTTGATCCACGATTGTTAGGGTTAAGAGTTACCAAGTGGCGAGTGCAAAGTCTTTACATGAATTAGACTTAGGAATTTGAACTGAAAGAGTTTGTGATTTTTTATATTCTTTTGAATTTAAATTTGTAGTTTTAAGCTCAATAATTTAGCATAATTTTATATTTAGTTCATAATAATAATAATATGATTCAGTATTTAGAATGATAAACTTGTGTGATTTGTACGTAATACTACTAGTACCAGTACCACAAAATAATTTTATATCTGTCCTTCTTACAATCTTTGCTTTGTAGTAAGACCCATACTTCTGTTGTTATTGCATTAGAATTAAAACAGTCTAACTGATATATAGTTTATTCTGATATTTTGCAAATGGTTCAAACTCAGTAGTGACAACAATAAAACCCATATGTTGGTTGTGAAACAGGCTAAATACATTC